TGGATTTCTTGTAAAAGCATATACATAGGCACATCCAAGTTTTTGTTTTTTTATGAAACAAAAAAACAAAAAAAATGTTTTCATATTTAAAAAAAATAAAAGATAAAATAGAAAACAAAATATGTACATACAGCATGTGGGGTTTCATGGAATATACTTGAAACTTGCCTTGATGAGAAGAATTGCTAAAATAGTCATTTATGCAAACATCGCGTACATTCACAATGAATGCTCATTTGCATAATGAGACTTATTTTGTAACGTGTCAGCAACCTCTCATCCCGCACCCAAATATTTTACACTTTTAGAATAAAATGAAGAAAATACGAAGTGTAAATATATACATGTCGATTAAATTTAAATCAATTCAATCTATTTGAAATAATCAAAGCTGCATGTGTATGTTCAAAAAATGAATAGACATTTCTTTGTGCAAAACATCACTAATGGATATGAGATTATCACTAAGCCTTTAACAAAAGAAATAAGGAGTCTAAAAGAAGTATTACCTTTCGTACAAACTCCATCAATTTATCTTATTTGCATATATAAATATTACATACCCATTCTTTTTATTGATCAAGCTAAGGAATAGAGTCCTTTCAAGTTTAAAGATGAATTTTCAATTTATTATTCAACAATTTATTATCCTTCTATAAACCTGAATTCGTCTATTTAACAACTTTATACTTTTCAGCAAGCTTTTCAAATTGACCTAATATCTCAACATATTTATCATGCAAAACATCATAAGTTAGTTATATCTCATTAACGAAGCTCTCATGTTTGACATCAACTGAATTGCTACCTTTAGCCATGACACAACAATATGCTTTTTCGTCATCATTGCTTGAGCTACTCTCTGGCTCATCCAATGTAGTCAGTTTGAACCTTTTGCATTTTCCTTTATAGTCTTTTTTAGCAAACAGTTCTTCCTTAAGTGATAGAGTTTCCTACACTGAAAATAAGTTGGTTCAGTATCAAAATCACTAGAGTTATGTTTATATATCTTACTTGTGTAGTGAGTTCATTTGTCTTGCAAGAATCTCATAATATCCTTTGATTTGAAGAAAGGGTTCGAAGCCTTTCAAAACTTGATCTACTCTATTATCTTTCTCACTCTTAGAACTCAAGCTCACACCTATGTTTGCCTTGGTCTTTGATTCTTCTCTTTTCGCTTTAAAAGCAAATGACTTCTTCTTGTGGTTAGTTCTGAATGATCTTCTGTTTCTTTTAGTCATATTTCATATGTAAGAAGATTTCCTAGAAGATTCTATAGAGTTAGTACATAAAAATTTTGCAATTCCTTGATAGTCATTAACTTTGGTTCCCAATCAGTGGAAAGAGAATGAAGAATTTTTCTCATAAGTTCTTTGTTATCATATTCCATTCTCAAAACCTTCGACTTGTTCACAATATTTGCAAATCGAGTGAACATATCCTGAATACTCTTCAAGGCCTCCATCTTGAAATTTTCATGCTTACTCATGAGCATTGTAAGTTTCTGTTTCTCACTCATAAAAACTTACAATCACTTTCCTACAATCTCTCATGTACGGTATTAAAGTGCAGATCACCAAACTAAATTTTGATGGGGGTGAAGTTACCTATGGTAAAATAATACATGGAGTTGGATCCATATAAAAATCACTTTCCTACAATCTCTCATGTAAACCAAACAATGTAATTTTATCATTTTAGGATTCACAATAGAACCCAAAACAAACAATGTAAAAGGTAAAGTGTATAGTGATGAGGTGGACAACCACTTTTCATGTGGTGTCATAAATACCAAAGTTTATACACACCATTCTACCACCATATTTTTCAAACCACTGAAATAAATTGATTGTGTATTGTATTTTTATCTTTTTCAATTGAGCATTCCAATTATTTACTATTGTGAGCGCGTCATGACTGGAAATCTTTGTGAGTGAAAGGGACGTGAACAAGGTGATATGGCGACTAAAGGAAAGTTAAAACTTATTTCTAGCTCTAAGTGTATGTACACGATTGCTCAACGAAATTAATATGCACCAACTCAAACAACATCCACAATATTTTCTCAATACAATAACTTGCAACAATATGTATGTAAAAGTTTGGGAATATAAAGTGCAAGGAGAAATAATTACTAGCACAGAAAATACAACACCAAGACGAGGATTTAGAGTGGTTCTGCAGGCCTACCTACATCTAACATATCGACATCGATATATCCATCACTCCCCCAGTTTGGAATTATAGAAAATAAGAGGGATGAATATAAAGCAGGCATAACATCTTTAGCCTGCTTGTCAGCAAAACAATACATAACAAATTAACATCATCAGGATCACTATACAACCAACATAAGGCAAGCCTCATACACAGAAGCCAAAGCACTAGTTAACCAAGCAAATAGTTTGTTGATTACGGCAGCAAGATAGAGCAGGTAGGGAGAGAGATCGACAGCAGAGAACACAGAAGGGACAGAATTTAAATGTTCCTCTCTGACCTCCTCAGATAGCTCTTAGTGGCCAATGCGAGCAACAACTCCTCAGCTTTCAGCGCATAGCAGCAGCAATAATACAAAGCATAGTAGTTCTCTTGATGCTCACGTCCCGATCTGCCTCAACTTTTACTACCTCTTTCAATGCATCTTCTGGCACAACTTACTTTGCACGAATATCATCTGTTGGTTCTAGTGTATTTTCACTCATGAGTCCCTTCTTGTGTTGAGGCTCCTCCTTCTCCAGCTTCTTTCTTTTTCGTTTCGCTCTAGAAGAAACTTTCTTACCTGCTAATCATTCTTCATTTTTAACTTCCACTCTGTGTTGCTTCCAAAGGGTCTTCTGTTGCATCCTCCACCAGATCATTCAGAGGATCCTTACCTGCTTCAGTCTCAATCTTTCTATTTGCTTCCTCTCTTTTTTTTTAATGTGTTTTCTTCTTCTATGATCGCTTCTTCAGTTTGTGAAGTTCTGATTCTTTGAGAGCAAGATCTTAAGAGATTCTCTGTTGAGTTTCCTCCAAAATAGTAGTAATGGTGGTTCCTCCTGCATGTTTGTCGTTCTCTTAAGGCTCTTTACCCTTTTTCTAGAGCTTCTCTGCCTTCACTTTCTCATCCTGTGAAGGCATCCTCCTCTTTTCAGATTCAAGCAGCAGAGACACTGGTTCCTCAAGCCTATCAGCCTCTCTCTTTGTAATCATACCTCTTCATCGGCATCAACATATTTCAGTTCTCTGTGTACGCTTCTCTTGCTTTTGTTACTTCTGCAATAAGATCAATGACCTGACCATCAAGCTTGTTCAACCTGTACTCAATAACTTCAGGATGGATGTTGAAAGTTCCAATAGAATGCCCAGACTGGCCAACACTCATTTCTGCAGCAACCTTTTTCTTGGAACCCATGATTCTCGGTAGGGTCTTTATCTAAATCATTTCTTTCAAAAAGTTACCTTTCACCTTCAATAATTACCTCGTGCTTTCTAAAAACATTTCTTAGCAAATAGGGGAATCCCATGTACCCCTTCGAATAGCAAGAACAGAATTGAACTATTTTCTGACAGCATCAGAGGATGACCATTATGTTCATTCAACTACTGAGCCAGTAACAGAATAGCCTTATTCGATCTTTTGAAGTTTCCATTTATGGATGGTATATTTCTGTTCTCCTTCCCCACTTTGAGCTCCTAATACTGAATGTCCGTTCCAATTTCCATTTTGCATGAAATTTGACCTTTATTTGCTTTGGTTGACTTCAAAATTTTACCACTTAAGCTCTTGGCAATTATCTTTCTACTAATAGGCAATAATCAAGAAATTTATATTTTGACGATTAGAAATACTTTAAAGTTCAAGATCTATCCACCACCATTGTAGTTTTGTGCATTTCATTCAACTCGGAGTTGTATGTGTTCCTGCATCATGCTTTTATATATTTTTATGTAAATGCCCTCATCACTGGTAATTTTTAAACAACACCAGGAATAATTCAGGACAGTAAACCAAACAACTTATTGAGATCTATAAATCATTCAAAGCTAGAACTAATAATAAATGACCCCACAACAACTAAAAAAACAACAGAGCTTTTTAACCAAACTTTTGGGGTTCGCTAAATGAATCTTATTCTTTCATTCAGTCATATATAAGAAAAGAGCCCCTTTTGGTTCGTGTGAGTCACACTTGTAGAATTCTGGAAATGCCCTCACATTTTTAGAAAAAATGAAAATGCATGGAAAAAGCAAAGTAAATGCTCTCACACTTGAAATAATTAAGGGAAACGCTCGCACTCAGAAAACTAACGATGATGCCTCACATTTGAAAAATCAACAGAACCCCTCAAACTTGGAAAATCCGAATAACTGGAAAATGCCCTCAAACTTGAAAAATCCTTTTAAAACTTTTGGGGACGGCTACATGAATCTTAATCTTCATTCAATCATCGATACTAGAGATGCTTCATTCATTCAATCACAGTGCCCTTGACAATTTGACTCACAATTGTGCTATGCATGAATCGCGCATCAGAATAATAGTATTAATAATAAACAATGTGTATTAATTATAAATGTAGAAATTACACAATTTTGTATTTTCCATCTAACAATTATGTAATTGCATAAGCAACATTGCAAGATTGGATAGAAAATCAAGCTCGAGCTGTTAAATAACACAACCTACAAGAACATTATATCAAAGAGAAAATAGTGATATGGAATGATGATAAAACGATTACACCAGACACGTCATACAGAGGAGGAGGAGGAGGAGGGAAAGGGAGTGTGTTGTTACACAATACCAAATAACTGAAAATGGAAGCGCAGAATATCATAATGTTTTAGAATGAGGGGTGCTCGTGTCATAAGATGTTTGTTATTTTCAATTTTTTACATGTTTTAAATCTCAGGAAATATCCACTAACCTCCAACATAGAGCAATGACAAAACAATATGACATGAAGATATTAGTTAAATCTACTTATAACGATACAATCATGAAATATAGAATACAATAAAAGATACGGCGAAAAATTATCAACTAGTAAAATTATCCTTTAATCCCAAAATAAATCGCTCATGAATCAATGTATCCAGTAAAGCATAACTTAGCAGTGGTAGCAATATTACCCAATTCTACTAATTCCAACACAAGTAATCGAAGAAAATAAGGAAGACTAAAGAGCTAAAATGTCTTCCTTCCCACTATCAAGAATGTATAACTAAGCAATGCATGAAAAGTTCAAATGAATAATACCCACACAATTTTCGTCGGCCATCTCTCTCCGCCTCATTGTCCCTCGCCTGTAGCCACCAACTCCACAGTTGCCCTCTCAGCCTCATTCTCCATAGGCGGCACCGGGTAATTCCTGGAGAAACAAGCATCACAAAAAGTTGGAGCCTCATCTCCAAGCAACCTTCTAAGGCTCTCAAGCGGCAGGAACGCTAGAGAATCACACCCAATCTCCTTCCTTATTCCCTCAACATCCATCCTGTTCGAAATCAACTCCTCAGTCCTCGGTGTATCCACTCCATAGTAACAAGACCCAACAATAGGAGGACAAGCAATCCTCATATGAACCTCCTTTGCCCCTGCATTCTTTATCAACCTCACAATCTTGGATGAGGTCGTCCCTCTAACAATCGAATCGTCAACAACCACAACCTTCTTCCCTTCAAGGATTCCAGGAACAGGGGCAAGCTTCAACTTAACTGCAAGATCTCTTAACTCTTGAGAGGGCTGAATAAATGTCCTGCTAACATAATGCGATCGAATCAAACCCTGTTGAAAAGGAACCCCTGATCTATTCGCATAACCAAGAGCCGCAAAGAACCCAGAATCAGGCACGGGAATCACAACATCAGCACCCTCAACAGGCGATTCAGCGGCGAGCATTTCTCCAAAAGACAACCTAGATGAATAAACTGCTCGACCGAATACAATCGAATTGGGCAACGCGAAGTAAATATGCTCGAAGATGCAAGCTTTCCTCGGCCTTTTAGGCATCAAGCACAAACTAGTAATGGACATATCATTACCATCCACTACAATCACTTCCCCAGGGTTCACTTCTCGTTCATACATTGCATCGAGCAGGTCGAGTGCACAGGTCTCCGACGCGAACACAATCGCCCCGTTCGTTCTTCTCCGGCCCATCACCAACGGCCGGAACCCGTGCGGGTCCCGGACGGCAAACAGCTTGTCCTCGGTCAAGAACACAAGCGAATAAGCCCCTTCAATCGCCTCGCAGGCCTCGACGAGTCGCTGAACAAAAGGCCGGGACTTTGAGTGAGCAATGAGATGAAGTATAACCTCGGTGTCCGAAGTGGTATTGAAAATGGAACCCTCATCTTCGAGCTTTGCCCGGAGGGACGAGTAATTCACAAGATTGCCATTGTGGGCGAGGGCGAGCTGGCCGAAGCGGGTAACCAGCGAGGAAAGGCTGGACGTTGCCGATGGAGGAGGCGGCGCCGGAGTGGAGTAGCGGACGTGGCCGATGGCGGAGGAGCGGGGAGGGAGTCGAGTTTCGGCTGTTTGAAGACCTCGAGACGAGGCCGAGGCCGTGACGGAGCGGAGGCGCGCGGCTGTCGGCGGAGACGATGCCGGCCGGCCCTCCTGCCCGCGGTGCTGGAGGGCGGAGGGCGAGGCGGCGAGGCGGAGGCCTCCGGTCGCCGATGATGCCCACGGACGCCGCACTCCTCTCGGGGCTTGTCGCCTCCGTCGTCGCCGGAGATGACGTCATCGTCGTAGGGGAGGAAGTGGGAGAGGGAGGTGGTGGGGAGGAGAGGAGAGGGCGCGGTGGGAGAGGAGGGGAAAGGAGGAGGGTTTGGGGAGGAGAGGAAGTGAGGAGTTAGGGCTTTGGACGAGGGAGAGGCGGAGGAGAGACAGTGGACGGAGGCGGAGGTGCGGCTCGGCGGCGCGCGGCGGGCGGCGGCGGCCATTACGGAGAAAGGGGCGAGAGCGGAGGAGCTTCGGCTCGACACGCGAGTGGGAGGAGACGCTTGTGGGATTCGATCGGTTTTTGGGAATTTATAGTGACGAGAGTGAGGGGGGGCGAACCGGGGCCAGTTGAGCAAGGAAAGAAGGGATTTTTTTTGCACATAAGACCCTTAGATTTTATTGCAATTATTTATAATTTGAAGATGAATGCATCAAATTGGATTCGTGGAACTCGAATTGATTTTCATTTCTCGCCCCTTTCTTATCCAAAATTAAAATTATATAAGAGAATAATTTCAAAGGAATTTTACTTAATCGAATTCTATTTTTTTTACTTATGTGTAAGATACAGTCGTGTGTTACATGTGAAGAGTACATATAGCTGGTTGTATACTAAACAATATAATATACATTTTACCCTGTAATTAATGCTTATAAATAAGTTTTTAGTATGATGATATATATCTATATATAATAAAGTTTCTAACATCTAGATACACGAAAGTACTAGCTTTGTCCACTTATAGTTATATAAGTAAATATCGCATAACAAAATTAGATTCATAAATATGATAAATGCATCTTAGGCTTTTATCTGCAGAAAAAAAAAATCTAGTTAGAAGGATGCTTAATTTATCTCGAAAATTTTAAGCTAGTGGAAAGTTTTTTTTATTAGTACAATTAACTGTTTTAAAATTTAACTTTTTCTAATTGAGTAAATTTATGGCACAAATATCTCATGAAAATTCTAAAAAATGAAAGTTAAATTTATTAGAGATGGTAATATGGATACATGTTTTAACACCTTTTCTAGGACCAAAACATCCTCGGCTATTCAAATGGATAAATGCAAGAGGGGGGGAAATGATTTTTGTTAATCAAAATGACTAACAAACCTCATAGCTTGCAAACATTTTGATAAATATTCCTGTTCTTTTCAGATTTGTTATATACATGTATATTATTTATACTCTTTTAGAATATATTAATAATTAATTTTTAGACATATTTTTATGGTTTCGTCAATTTGTTTGTTTGTTATGCCAACGCATAAACATTAGGGTTTATTACAATAAAGTAGTATTTATATTATTTCGTAGTATAGTTGATGACATATGAAGAGATAATTTAAATGTTATGAATGTTTCTTATAAACTATGATCATGCATTTAAAAGAAAACTAGTTACGGAATTATGGAATTCGAACATGAGAGTATAAGACAATATGCAAGCTATGACGAGGTTCATAATGAAAATTTGCTCATCCTAGAACTTTATCATATTAGAAATTAGACCCGGTTCATTCAGCTTGGGACCCGTTAATGTCTCGGTTGCAGCTTCTTTTGGGAACGAACCTCGTGATGGGCCCACCAGCATTCCGGGGACCCACTCCTTAATTTCTTTATAGATTCGAGGTCACGTGTTGACCGTCTATTCTGCAAACGTGTAGTAATCTTTGCGGTTGATCTTGAGAGTTCTAAAGGAATCTGAACGAAGCCCTATATTTTATTCTATCCCCTCTTTCCCCTCGGATCAACTTGCATTTGCATGTGGACCCCGCTTGGGACCTTTTTCCAGCTTGACCCGGGATATTGTAGTTTGTTAATAACTGGCAGCAAATATGTATTACTTGGTGTTAGGGTTGACCGAGGGTCAGTTCCAGCCCGGCCCAATTTGGATGGAAACCCGGCCCAATCCACTTCGGGTCGGGCTCATCACGGTCTACATTGTCATGTGTCAGACTGGATTTTTTCACATAAGACGTTAGAACTTATGGAATTATTTAAAATTTGAAGATGGATGCATCAAATTGGATTCGTAAAACTTGAAATGATTTTCACTTCTTTCCCCTTTCTTATCCAAAATTAAAATTATATAAGATAAATTTTTCAAAAGAACTTTAATCTTGAAATATTGAGTCTTTATTACTTAATTGAATTCTATATTTTTGCTTATGTGCAAGATACATCGAGTGTTACATGTGAAGAATACATACAGTTGGTTGTATACTAAATAATATACAGACAGTTCTTATACATTTTACCTTGAAATTAATGCTTATAAATAAGTTTTTAGTATGATGATATCTATCAATATATAGTAAAGTTTCTAACATCAAGATGCAAGACCATATTAACCTTGTCTACTTATATAAGTAAATACACAACAAAATTGGACTCATAAAATATGTTATAGACATGTCAGTCATTTGGACGAAAAAGAAAACCTAGTTTGAGGGATGGTTAATTTACCTTGAAAGCTTTGAGCTAGTGGAAAGGATTTTTATGTTTCGGTATAATTGGTTATTTTTTAAATTCAACTTTTTTCTACATTAGAAAATTTATATTCGCAAATTTGTCATAAAAATTCTAAAAAAATAAAAGGTAAATTTATTAGCGAAGTTAGTATGGATGAATGTTTTAACTCCTTTTCTAGGACCAAAACAATCTCAACTTTCAAATAGATAAAAGCAAGAGAAAAAAAATTGATCTCTATCAATTAAAATGACTAACGAACCTCATAGCTTGCAAACATTTTGCTATATATTCCTATTCTTATTAGATTTATTATATACATGTATATTATTTATACTCTTTTAGAATATAGTAGTATAATGCACGCGCTTTGCATGTGAATGTACATGTTTTAAGTTTTAAATTCTTTCTTGAATAGTAAAACTATGTGGTTAATAAATAAAATTGTATAATAATATTCCTTAAAAAGAAATGTATGAATTAATTATTATTTTTGTGTAGTTACTGCAATCGAACGTTTTTCTTATAAGGATCGCTCAGTCCTACCTTTTTTTAAATAAGTCCCCCAGCTCTAAAATTGTTCTTAAATAAAATAATAAATTCTATAAGTTCTCTAAATTATGCCTCTCCAACTTGAAAGTTGTTAGCTTGACTCTAAATTAACTAAGCTACATTAATTTTGCTAGCTTTCTTTGATGTTCGTTAAATAGTTACGCTGATACTTGCAACAATTGCAATAGTTACTTCTCATTATAATTACTTAATAGGGTAAATTACACTAAAACCGTATGAACTTTCAACATATATCAACTTTCAAAACCACACTAAACCTCTAATGACTTTCTTGATTCAAAGAAAACTCCTAATAACTTTCTAAATTTTGTACATAATGCCTATAAATTAGAATGAGAAAATGTCATAAAAAGACAGTTGGAAGTTATTGGGGGTTTGGTTTAATTTATCTAAAAGATATTGGGGGCTTTCTACATAAGTTATTAGGGGTTTAGTATGATTTCAAAAGTTCATACAGTTTATTTACTGCAAAACGCTAAAAGTTCATAGGGTTTTACTGTAATTTACCTTATTTAATATTATAACTCTTTGTTCAAGCAACACTATTAAAATAATTTTACTATCTATATACTATAAAATATTTAGGTAATTTAATTTTCATAATTATGCTCTTAAATAATTTAGCACTATAAATTTTTTAAAAGTTTTAATTATAATATCATTAACAATTAATAGTACTATAAATTTTTTATAAGTTTCTAGCACTATAATTTTTTTTAATTATGCTCTTAAATAATTTAGCACTATAATTTTTTTATAAGTTTTAATTATACTATCATTAACAGTTAATATTACTATAATTAATATTGGATATTTTTTTTGAAAAAAGGTTAGTTTTCAACCATTATCAAGTATAGATTATTCAATACCATGTAATAATCTTTGAGAAAATACTCTAAAAATAATTTTAATTTATTTATTTTATTTATTTAATAATATAATATTAAATAAATAGTGTAATTCATAATTTATGTGATATAATTAAAATAATTACACTACTTATGCGGTTAAATATTTATTCTACTTATTTTGTTGCTCATTGAATTATAGCGTAAATTTTAATAGTATTTAGCAATATATTACTCTATTTATACTATTATTTTAATTGTTTTATTAAAAATCATAAATAATCATTATAATAATTTAATTGCTTACTACTTATAATTGTGTATACTTATTTAATAAATTATTTTATTATACTAAATAATTATTACTTATAATATTATTGATAATTATAACTATTTAGTAACTTGAGGAGATGCATAATTAATAAGAGGTAATATTTATTTAATGAAAGATTAGTTAGAGAGAATAACATAATCAGAATTCATCAAACTTTCAGAGTGCAGAAAAGAAAATTAAAAGTTGTAGCACCCCAATCCTCTTTTTATAGTAGTATAGATAGATATAGATTAATAATTAAGTTTTAAACATCTTTTTATGGTTTTGTCAAACTGTTTGTCATGCCAAAGCATAAACATCAGGGTTTATTACAATAAATAAAGTAATATTCGTATTATTTGGTAATATATTTGATGGCACGTGAAGAGACAATTTAATTAAATGTTACGATCGTTTCTTCTAAACTATGATCATGCATCTTTTTTTATCTAGTTATGGGATAACGGAATCCGAACATGAGAGTACAAAGGGATCCGCAAAGCTATAACGAGGTTCATAATGAAAATTTGCTCATCCTAGAACTTGTTATTATCAGAAATTTGACCCGGTTCGTTCAGCTTGGGAGCTGGGACCCATTGAAGGCTCGGCGTGCGCCCACCGGCATTCAGGGGACCCACTGCTTACGGATTCAGGGTCACGTCTTAGCCGTCTATTCTGGGAGCATGTAGTAATCTTTGTGGTTGATTTCGAGAGGGAATCCGAATGAAGCCCTAGATTTCATTCTCTCTCCTGCTTCGCATCGCGTCAACTTGCATTTGGGTGGGACCCCACGTGGGAAGTTTTTTCTGCTTGACTTGGATATTGTAGTTTGTTAACAACGGGCAGCTAATATGAATTAGGTCAGGGCAGGGGGTGTTTGTTTCAAAGAAAAATTTTGTCAAATCCTTTCCAATTGAGAGATAAGCACATCCATTTATGGAATTTATTAAAATCCTCTCTAATTTGGAGGATTTGTAAATTCTAAAAATTGGACACTCTTTGCATTTTTGGGA